CTCGTTCTCCCCTCGTGGATATCCTGTTTCTTGAGTTTATTTAGACTCGGCTGAAGTGTTTGATTTTGTCTGATGTAGCGGCGGTCGTATCAAATTTAAAAGGAACGAATGGTTCTCTTTCTTCCCTTGCAGCAAATAAAGAAAGAAGGAGAAGGAGAAGGCGCGCGAAGACGAGGACGCGCTCGCTCGTTTCAATAAATCTCTCCACCGCTTAAGTGTTTGATGCGGAGTTTTAAAGACGGTTTAAAAGATTTTAAGTAAACTAATGACAGGGAATTGCCCGAGACGTGTGGGATTAGGTGACGGCGATAAATCGACAACCGTGCCCTGAATGGGCGTTTGTTTGAAAACTGAACACCATAAACGAAATTAATTATTTTTATTTTGTGTGCAAGCTAGCTTTGTACGCATATCGGACGTATCGGACGTTACTTACGCTTAATGGAAAATTATCTTGAGATTTATTTGAATGATNGAGTACAATTTTCATGCATCCATTTAAGACAGTAAATACACTGAATCCAATCTTCGATTTTTTCAGTTTTATAGTAGTTTTCACCACACCTTATACAATCGTATTCGCAGTCTTCTCCAGCTGTATCTTCACTATTCAAATGTATTTCGCATTCTTCTTCAGAAGTTGATTCTGCTTTCCTTTTATGCAAACGAGGCTTAGGATTTTTAATTTTTTGTTTCTTCTCTGTTTTTTGTTTTCTTTCTTTAATACTTTCTTTTGAAGTCACTATTTCTGCCACTTGTTTTGCACGTTTTCTTGCAGTGTTGTCAATTTCTGGGACGGGACTTAATTCACAAAGAAATTTTGAAGGAGTTTCGATAGCGTCTGTAACAGATTTTAAGGTTCCTGGTTGGGGTGACTTCGACTCACGGACCCACTGGTTCTGGGATATGACTTCCATTCGAAACGTTAGGTTGTATTGGTCCTTTATATTGATCTTCATAGAAGTCTGATATGAAAACATATGGCCATATAAGCCTTAAAAAATATGGTCATATAAACCATACCTTTAGGATAAGATGGCCACACAAACAAAAGCACTGACACAGTAAAATAATTTTGAAGATTTTGAGATTATACTAACAACAAAACATCAAACCATAACATAAAAGTAAAATTAATATAAAATCACGTTCATAACGTAGGAACTAACATGTTCTGAAAATTTTTGAGTTAGGTTTAACATAAAACTAACAAAATACTTGCCTTTTCATTTTTTTTTTTTGCACAACAAACTGCACTACTTGCGATCTCTCGCGAACGTCAAGCGCGTAGTGCCGATACATAGCGTTATTTATCGGTAAAAGATGAAATTTTTTCAATTGGCCATCTTAAACGACTGGCCACATCACCCTGAATTACCCTACCTGTGACCATAATTCAACAAAAAGGTTTTCTGATGGAATAAGTAATGTCTGGAAATTCAGCCCAGAAAAAAAGAAACTTTTTCGTTTCATCCAAATTGAGTTTATGCGAGATTAAATTGTCCAAGAGTACCTACGTTTAGGTCTATAATGCCTGGCTCCATGCGTATAAGTTTATTACGAGCATTGAGTACCTAAATCAAGCCATAACAAACCAGGATATTTCTGTACGTGAAAGAATGCCGGTTTAGAAAGAAGAATGTAAATATTTGGCGCCATTATAAATTGATGATTTAAATTAAGTACTAAATCACGTTACAAGGAAAGGCAAACACAGAACGCATCCAGTTTCTTTAAACTCTGCCGCTCCGCGTTTAATATATCGCGCAATCAATATTTTAAAAAGTTAAGAGATTGTTTAATAAATAGAGTCTGGACATGGGTTTCTGTGTAACCGAACACTTGGGCTTTTAGATTATGCAGTACCAAAGGACATGTTTGTGCTCGCATACGTATCCTTGTGTAGTGAGTATGTGGACTGATATTTGTTTGTGCGCGTGTGTGTGTGTGTGTGCGTGCGAGTTTTCTCAAGTCGAGACCGTATATTTGTAAAATAACATGACGAACGATATTTGTGCACATGAAAGTCAGTGACAAGGACCTCGGTACTGGTACAACACGCAAAACAGCATTAAAGAAAAGTGTATAATATCTATGTATAAATTTAAGTGGTTTAGAAACAGTCGGCACTATAGAGAGGGTAATATTTCATAAATAGTGGATAATTTTAGGGGGATCGCTGACCGTATAGAAAGTTGAATATTATGTTCAGTAAATGCTCCATAGTGACCGTCACCCTACAGTAGTTCGTGTCGTGACACTACGAGCAGTATGGTTATTTTTTGACATCAGCAGTTAAAGGTTTATGTCTCGAGCACGGCTCTGTACGGGTGCTAAATGTTGACGTAGCGTTTGAAGTGTGGTATTATAAGCAAATGATGAGGATACTGTGGACAGAGAAGGTTAGAAATGAAGAGGTATTAGAAAGAGTAGTAGAAATCAATAAGAAATAGACGAGATAAGTTGACAAGACGTCTTCTCAGGCATGAAGGACTAGTTAGAAACTAGGACTTAAGAAGAGTAGAGGTAGACGTAGATTAGATTTCTGTTGACAAATAGACAGTGAAGGATGTGCGATGTTCTAGTTTCACGGAAATGCAAAGATTAGTTCAGGATAGGAGTGAGTGGAGGTGCGTGGCCAAGAAAAGTCTTAGGAGTGACGAATATGATAAGTAATTGTGCTATTTACCTATATACATATTTGAATTCGAGTAACTTTATTGTAAAAAGCAAGGAATTACCATTACCTATTAATAAATGTTGAAATTGACTTTCCACATTTTTTTTTCTTAATAATGAAACACAGTATCTATCATCTCACGAATTTAAAGTATGAATACGGTTGTATATTTATTATTTGGAAATCCTCCTCCCTGTGGCGCAAATAAGGAAGACAGTGGGGCTGATCTACCCCGACGGCATCAACACAGATGTCCGAATTAGAATACATTTTTTAATTAATTTTTACCACTTGGTATGGAGTGTGGTTACTGACGCTACTTTTCTTCTTGCTGGATAAGTCTTTCAACATTTCTTCAACAACTGTGAAGGATATCCTCCAACGTATCAATAATAATCCTTGAGCATGCCTGTCAAAGTGGGAAACACAACTTCAACCTAGAGAGTAGGATTTTGATGATGCCCAGCACCATGGTAATCAAGCTCTGAAAACAATTTCGTAACAATAGGCACCGACCGTGAATATCGTGCCTATTTCAAAATATTCCTTAGTTTGTGGTTGGGGCGGTCGAGAAACTAATTTGAGGTCGTCAATTAAACTAATTTAAAAAGTCAAAAATGATTTAAGATAAATTATTTTCGATTTTATCACCAAATTTATAAATTTCTAGCCACCCATGCAAACAGTGGCTTGCGATAAGCTTTTGTTTGCTTGCTTGGTGAACTGGTTTCAATGATGTTGGTTTGTTTCAAAGTTGTCATTAGTCATATTTGATGAAAGTTAACCGTTTCAATCACGCCTGAGTGGAAAACAGGATCAGATTTTCCATTTATTAAAGGGTTACATTTTAACTTAAATCTAATTTCACAATTTTTTTAGATTTCGTGTCAAAAATGAGCTGATTCAGTTAATTTAACGTTTTCTAAAAAATTAATCACAATTTCATCATCAAAGCTTTGTTGTCTTCATTAACGATAAGTAATTAGAATTTTTAATTTTTTCGGTTAACTCATAATAGTTCAAGCTTTGATGTTGGTTTTTCATTAAATGGGAATGTTGATACGGTTATTTCATGTACAGAGATAACACAAATGTATATTATTATGTCAGTTCGGGCTCATCGGCAATACATCAGTTGCAAGCTAGAGTGGGTGTCATATGTCTCGATAAGGCATATTCTAGTACAACATATGTTCATTACATTTTAACGAACCAGTAATGGCCATTTAAACCATTATTTGCAAATTTACTACGATAACCAACATTAATATTAACAGGAATAATCTGTTTTGCAATCATGTCTTTGTTTAGTTTATGTTAATTACAAACACAATCGATTCATACGGAAAAATTAGCGTAGCAATTTTTAAGTAGTCAAAAAAAAATACATTTCAATACATGAAACAGTAATAAAACTTGTTTAATATTCAATTTATAATTTGTTTACGAAAAATCCAATCGTTGTTGTAACATAGTAAAAAGTGGTAGTAGATTATGTTCGGGTCAATTTAGGAAGGCGACAAGTTTAATGGAAGCAAATATGTAATTTATCGGTCACTTATGGACAAAATTGATATACTTTGAAAAAACTAAATTTACTCTGTGCGAAATATATTCATCATCATAAGGTCGTCAGTCCTAAGTCTGGTTGGACACGCACCTCCACTCTTTCTTATCCTGAGCTAATCTTCGCATTTCCCTAAAACTAGAATAACCTACATCCGTAACTATTTGTGAACAGTAATCTAATCTAGGTCTATCCCACTCCTCCTAACTCCTGTTTCTGCCTCTAATATGTCTCTGACTAGACCTTCATGCCTGAGAAGGTGTCCTACCAACCCATCTCGCCTATTTTGTATTGATTTCCAGAGAGTACTTTGTTCTCCTATTACTAATACCTCTTCATTTCTAACCTTCACTATCCACGGTATCCTCATCATTCGCCTGTAACACCACATTTCGAACGCTTCTTCTTCGAAAATAATAATAAGACGTATTGTAATAGTTTCCAACTTTGAAGAAAAATTATCAACTTAAACGATCCTACTACGTTTCCGTTCCTCTTTAAATTACGGTAAAATATGGTATAGTAATCAGAGCAATCTGTTCAAGCCGCATTCCAGCAAACTGCAAGAAATCATTTTAAACTTAGTATTGTTAATGTAAAAGGTAGACTTTTTAAAGTGTTAAGCATCAATTCTATCTGTAGTTCTTATCACAATATTAATTCCCCATCGAAATAATCCAATGAATTTTCACTCGTTTGTAAAACATTTTCGAATATTTTTTTTATTAACGATTGTATCTCGTTTTCTTTCAGTTACTAGTATCTGGTCAAACAACGACAACATCATCATCGTCGCCGGCGTCTGGTGGTAGTTCTTTAAGCCCAGGGGGTTCGGCATGCGGTCCGGTGGGTGCTCTGTCGCCAGGGGGTACGTCGAGTACCGGGCCGACGCAATGTTGCGAGTCGGGAAGACCTCTTGTAACGGACCCGGTTACCGGTCAAAGCGTGTGTTCCTGCCAGTACGACTCTGCGCGTTTGGCTGCTTTACAATATCCTCGAAGTGTCGGGGTTTACGGCACGCCTTATCCTTCTACAGATCAGAACCCCTATCCTAGCATAGGGGTCGACAGCTCAGCCTTCTATTCTCCCTTAGTAAGTATTCTTATCTTTCTATTACTGTAGTGCTTCGTTATTAGAGAAGGTCTAACGTGAAACACGTTCTCAATGTACTTGTAAAATAAGTGAATTTAGGATTTATAAAAACACTTAATGTTCCTTTTGTAGAATTATTTCTAAGAAAGGTATGTAAATGAGAATGGCATATACAATCAAGTCATTTTCTGAAGTTTTCGGAAAAACTAAACATACATCGACTTACATGGACGACATCTTCAGTAGTTCTTTTTCCTAGAGTGGTTTGAAGATGTTCAATCTCCCCTGCAAGAGGATCTCGTACATACCCGGTAACATGTTGTAGCGCCCAAACTATGAATACATAAAATAATTCGAAGTGGTCTGTATTCTGTCGAAGCTGTCAGACGCGGATCGCGATTTCGATCTTTTTGGATCTCATCAGCGCGTCGCGGGCAGCTCCGACAGAACACAGACCAACTTTCACTTGCTGTCTTAACAGTGCGTTTTAGAAAATACCACAAATGGCGCAGTAAACGCCATCTGTAGTGCGATGCTACATTTTAGGATTACGTATGCTCCAACAAGGTCCACTTGTGTGGATATCTACTTGCTGAAAACGAATCCCGGCGTAGCCAACCTCAACGTGATAGGCACGTTAGCTTAATCGAATAAAATAATTCGAAGTGGTCTGTATTCTGTCGAAACTGCCAGACGCGGATCGCGATTTCGATCTTTTTGGATCTCATCAGCGCGTCGCAGGCAGCTCCGACAGAACACGGACCAACTTTTACCTGCTGTCTTAACAGTGCGTTTTAGAAATACATGAATACATAAGTTGATTCACTTTTTGAGTAATCAATTGTAATTCAGTATTGCCTTCCGTCTCATTCATTCTCATTTAACTTCTAAAACGGTAACTGCTTTTAAATTTGAAGAAACGTTTTGGGGAGTACGTATGAAAACTTCTTCAACGAGAGTTTTTTCCTTCAAAATTTTGTTTTCAATTTATTTTGCGACATTGAGACATTGTTGCAAACATCCCCAAACGTCTTGTCTTTTTGGGTTTAGCAAATAATTTTCCTCTCGAGTGAGCTAATATATTCGTAAACGAAAGTGTGTCGAGAGGGAAAAGAAACGAGTTTTAAAAGAGCAACAACAACAGCACCAAAGACGGACGCGAACGGCCGGAACGGCAAAGAAAGCCAAGGGCCCTGCGTTGTTACTTACGTTGCCTCCTGTCTTTCTTTTTATCCTTCTGGCTACAGGCGTCGACAGCTCGATCTCCACTCGTTCTCCCCTCGTGGATATCCTGTTTCTTGAGTTTATTTAGACTCGGCTGAAGTGTTTGATTTTGTCTGATGTAGCGGCGGTCGTATCAAATTTAAAAGGAACGAATGGTTCTCTTTCTTCCCTTGCAGCAAATAAAGAAAGAAGGAGAAGGAGAAGGCGCGCGAAGACGAGGACGCGCTCGCTCGTTTCAATAAATCTCTCCACCGCTTAAGTGTTTGATGCGGAGTTTTAAAGACGGTTTAAAAGATTTTAAGTAAACTAATGACAGGGAATTGCCCGAGACGTGTGGGATTAGGTGACGGCGATAAATCGACAACCGTGCCCTGAATGGGCGTTTGTTTGAAAACTGAACACCATAAACGAAATTAATTATTTTTATTTTGTGTGCAAGCTAGCTTTGTACGCATATCGGACGTATCGGACGTTACTTACGCTTAATGGAAAATTATCTTGAGATTTATTTGAATGATTTTATTTTACTCCATCTTCATTTGAAGATTGAAGAAAAACACAAAAATATGAAATAAGTACATAGGTAGTACAAAAAATTAATGATGATTAGTATTTTGTCGAATACATCAGACGCGAATCGCGATTCTGATCTCATTGGCGTGTCGTAGACAGTTTATACTACAGATGGCGTTCACCGCACTATTTGTAATAATTCACACAGGTAGTATAGCTTATCAGGTAGTTATATTTTCCAAATTTTCATTATTATTGTATGTGTTCTTCTTTCTTCTGTAATAGGTCTATGATCTATTCCTTCTTCGATTTGATCCATCCTGGATCTCAACTGACAAATTTTACAATAGTCATGTTGATAAAATTTTATGAAAAAGTCGAAAAATTGAATTTATCACTATTGAAGAATTGTCGATTTTTGGATTGCGATATGAATCAATATCAATACATACGCGGGATTGTACAACGATAGATTTTTGTGTTTTCGTTTCAAATCTCATTAGTTTAACAAAAGGATCAAAGTGATACTCAACCGTATCATAATTAAGAAAATGTTTTGAATTAATTTAAACAGCTCAAAACAGGAAACATCTACTAAAGAACCATCCCTTCACATAAATTGTGTTGTTTATTATAAAATGGTACTAATTAAGTTATTGTACTGTCGCGGCGTAATTAATTTACTACTTTCTTTGTGAATATATTTGAAACTTAGTTATTACTCTGTTTTTGCCAAAAAAAAAGGGAATGTAACACGTGTAGTAAATAAGTCTAAACGTTCTGTAGACGTATTAATTAAACAGAAATAGTGCAACTTTGTGTGAATGTTCGGTCCCATCATTTATGATTAAAAGGATTTGCCTTTCAAATAATTTTCCGCTTTATCACCTTTGGACGAGAACAGAAAGGATGAGGCATGAGACAGAAATAAAATATAAATACAAGAGCCCCGGTCTCCTCTCGGGCATTCTGCTCAGGCAGTTCTTCTTAATTCTCTATTAATAGAACAGGTTAATAACATGTTTGGACATTTTTATTGCTTTGTAAACATGCAGGAAAAAGAAACTGATTGTGATAAAAAAAGTATCACGCCCAATTAAACCGCGAAAGAAAGAATTATTACAAACACGTGTCCTGAACCAAAATTTTTAACAAGAACACTCTCCAATTCTATGTATTTACAAGATTGTACCTCAGTCCTTAAATATCCTAATTTCTACAAAATTTTGCAATTTTTTTATTACAAAGCTCAAAGTTGGGCAAGTGCCCTTGAACTTTGCTGTTGAAGATTTTGTACCGTCGTGGCTTTTTTCTTAGTAGGTACCTGTCTATATTTTATGTTTTAATTACTAATATTTGTTCTGCAAATTCATGATGTGAGCAATGTTAAACAAAAATTGCTGTTTATTTGACAATGATTACGGAGAGCAGACGTCGTCCTTACATGATATTATCAAGGACGTATTTAGGTTTCATGTTATATGTGTAATAGATATTACGTTATGTGCATTAATTACAAAGAACTACACGCAATCTTTCATAGTTTTCCCACCATAAAATTTAGATCGTAGGCCTATTATACCTGCGATCGTCGTCCGCTCTCGAGTACGTCTTTTTGCAGTATATTTGATTTAAAATACAAATAACTTATTATTCCCTTAAAATAAAACTGTTCCAAGTTTTAAATCAGATTTTTTACAATGTGGGCTCACACATATTTTACTATAATAAAAAGAACTTCCTTAAAAATTTAATCCTGGACCTCATCCTTAACTTGCATATACAAATTCGATAATAATTTATTAACGAATTAACACTCGAATTCATTTTGAAATACGCATTGATTAGTACCTAATGAAGGTTTGCCACATTCCACGTAATCATGCGCAATCGATGATTGCCGATAATAATTGTTCGCTTTGCCAATAATTGCCTTTGTGGCAGCAGCAGTAATAAAGAAATATGGACAGACGTAAAAGTTGTACCTACCGCACAACCAATAGCAGCGGTTCAATTATATATTCTGTATAGACGGTAGCTAAAACATTGGCTTATTTTTCCAAAAATCATCATCATCATAAGGTCCTCAGTCCTTACAACTTGTTGGACACGCACCTCCACTCTTTTCTACCCTGAGCAAAACTAGAACAACCCATATCCTATTTGCAAACAGTAATCTGATTTAGGTCTACCTCTACTCCTCTTGACTCCTGTTTCTGCCGTTCATGCCTGAGAAGGTGTCCTACCAACCTATCTCGCCTATTTCTTAATGATTTCCATACAGTCCTCTGTTCTCCTATTCTTTCTAATACCTTTTCATTTCTAATCTTCTCTTTCCACGGTATCCTCATCATTCGCCTGTAACAACACAGTTCGAACGGTTATATCCTTCTCTTTTCCACCGCGCCCACCGTCCCACCTTTCGCAAGTATAAAAGTGACTTCTGTTTCTTGAAGTGGACTCGAGCCTTCGCTATCCTCTGCCTTATATCCCTACTACTCCTTCCGTCCTGACTTATCTGCCTTCCTAGATACCTAAAATCGGCCACTTCTTTTATTTTTTCGTCTCCCATCTTTACATTTACTCTTTCTCTACTTTTTCTTCCCTTGCATACTATTTTTGTTTCACTTCTATTTATTTCGAAATATAAAATTAAATTAATACGATCAACGCGAAATCGACATTTCTAACGAATTCTATTATATTCTATTTTTTTGTGGTGCTAATATTAACGGTTTATTATGGAGATGGTGTGAGCTTTTATAAATGTAGGCTCATGTTACATACGTAGTTTTACCATGAATGAGTAGAATCGAATGTCGTTAATTAAGAGAGAGCAATGTATAATGAATGAATAACACGCAATATCGTTGCAAATATGTAATCGTAGTTAACAGGGATAAAAAAGTCCGGATGCGAGACGCCACTGTTTTATCGCACCTACCGGCTCCAGCCGCCAACTGGGATCCCATTGAATTCCGCTAAGGCTTCAAAACCTTTGTCGTGAGATTGTTCTCATCTGATAAACGTAAACGTAACGGGATTCGCAATGGTAATGTGGCGACTTTATTAAACGTAAAACGCCTAAAGTATGAAAATTAATCTCCAATGGAAGTAAGTCATTTAAACTGATTACTCATTAGTTAGTATTATCAATTATTTGCATACTTATT